CATTTTAAAATTAATATAGTATATATCATAAAGTTATAAATAGAATATTTTGTAAAGAACGCGTTTATTATTTATATATTATTTATAATATGTTATTTATGCATTTTTAAATTGCATTTACATGAGTAAAAACTATATAAAGAGTGAGTATCTGACAAATGAAAGGGTAGATAAAATGTTTTTTTTTTGAAAAAAATATATTTTAATGTTATATTTTTTGTATCAAACAATTGATTTTGTATCATTTGAACTTAGAAAATATTTTAAAAATATTATATTATTCTATAAAATATTCATAGATATTTGTTCAGATATTTATATTATCTATACAGATTATAATTTACAGATTACTTCTCTAAATCTATTATTGAGTAATGTTATAATATAGGTCATATTAGATAACTATCAGTTATAACATCATGTCACTTAATCATCTCTAATATAACTATAATGACTAATAATCATAGGTTACATATGTTATGACTAACATCATTTTAAAAAAATCAAAATAACTAGGTCATATCTATCACTGCTCCCTCAACTGAGTTGTCACTAGTCATAGTAGATTTGCTAGAAATAGCTTAACTCAATTGAGTTGAGATTTGCTATACGGTTTATCTGCCAAATGTTTATAGGGATGACAAAAACTTAGTAGAACTAAATTTTGAAGGTTATGATCTTATTTATTAGAGTTCCTCATGTGATAAAAACAATTAGCACCTCAATAATAAAAATATAACTACTTATAAAATGCTAAGTTTACAAAAGAAAAGAAAGTATAAAGTGAAAAGATCTAGGTATTATAATTTTTTTCGAAATAACTAATGCAGAATAATAGAATTTCTCAAATTGTTACATTCTTGATTGATACTAATAATGTTGACATAATGCCTGAAGCTGCAGAGAAAGTCTGATCAACAAATATTTCAAGACTACTTGTAATTCTTCTGTTTCTATATCTATTCAAAAGTATGTTTCTGAACTATTATCTTACTAATTTGTAAATATTGAATCATTCAATAAATCTTTATGAAAACTTTCTTCATATCTTAATCCTAATAGGTGAACCATAATTACAAAATAATCCAAAACGCACTTAAGAGCCTCTAAGATTTTTCATCTTCTAAGTCAATTATAGATCTTAAATTAGCAGTAGCAAAACAAATTACCAAAGCATCAGAAGTACTTTGTGTAACTATAATAACTGGAAAGTGGAATTGTGAATTCGCTTTCTTCATATGTCTGATTATCCTAGCAAATAGAAGGCATTAATTTCAAAATTGACAAAAAAGTATCAGAAAGTATGTATTTTATTAAATCTTTGTTAATTTATTAAATTTAAATAGATAATAATAATAATCAAAAACATATTATTAATGATATTGAAGAAAGCATTAGAGAACCTACTAAGAAAGTAATATTTCTTTATATATAATTTATTCTAACAAGATTAAATTTTAAGACTGTTAACATTATTATTTATTAGAAGTTTCACATTATTTATAATCAAGAACTTATTGTGAAAAATATTTTAAGAGAATTTCAAGAAATCTGTTTAAAAATACAAAGTCTTTTTTAAGATTTCCAAGAATATAGCGAAAATTTCCAAAATTTATTGATAATCAATAAGATCATGGATCTTAAACCATCCTCAGAATTTGTTCTCATGTATACTAAAGAACAAGTTTATACTAAATTTCTTAATAATGTATTTGATTCAATCGATAAACTTTTCCTTGAGAAAGCTTTTAATTTTCTTATGATATTCTTTTCAAAAGTATTACCTGTTATATTAAATTTTCTTAATTTCTTACATTTCACTTACTATTCTTTATTGTTAATAGAATTTAACTAATGAATAATAGCGAAAAGAAATTGAAAATTTGCTTGATCATAAAGCTGATTTGTTTTAAAAAATTTAAAAATATATATATTTGAAATTTTTCTAATCTTGCAAGTATATATATTTGATATTTTTTTGATCTAATCAAATTTTAACCTTTCTTTTTTTATTTTAGTTTTGATTTATATATGTAATTAGATAATCCCTTAAAAAATAGAAATTTAAGTGAAAATGAGTATATAGCAACATATATTCATCTAATGCTAAATAAGGCTTTAGTAAGATTTTCTAATATTAATTATAGGCTGTAAGTATTTTTTTTGTATAGTAGTGATTTAATTGCTTATTGGAATTTATTTAATCTATTAGTGGTAATAAAACTATTGAAGTATCTTCTTACAGAAAGTTGATTACATGTCAAAGTGAAAATGCTGATTGAGCTGATGGAATTACATATATCACAAATTCAAAGTTTTATAAGATTTGTGTAATAGAAAGTAGCAAATCCTATAGGTTTGTAAAACAAAAGATAAGATGGCTATGCAACTATAATTTTGCTAACTTATTAATATAGGTTTTAGAAGTTCTTATCAGTATTTTCATAATAATTATTTATAAATTTATATGCAAGTCTTAGAAATATATAAATGCATACAATAAAGGACTAAAAGGTAAAATTACTGAGTGACTGTTAATAAATATAAATTACATCATCACTTATCTGAAAATATTAAAAAATAATAAATCAGTTAAATAATAAAAATAATAATAAAAAATAAAACTAATATTTAGCTATTTTTAAAACTTTTATAGTAGTATTGATTACTTTCACATTACTAAAATCTATTATTTTATATAAAAATAAGAATTACAATAAAAAATTAAAATGCATTTTATTATTTTTAATATATAGTCTTTCAGTTATACAAAATTTGATTATTTTTTATTGGCTGATATATATTATGTGATCAGTATCAGAAATTTGAAATAAAGTCATATGATTATCAAGTATAGACTTCTAATACTATAATTCTGATATATATATATATTAATATTTTATATTTAAATAATATTAAAAACATTATTACTAGAATTAAAAGAATAATAATCAACTTTAAAAGAAAATGCTTTTTTAAAACTACTAAGATAAATATATTGTTTTTTATAAAATTAAGTATATATTAAAATTTCTAAAATAATTTTTAATAAATTAATTATTCATATAGGATCATTTAAATAATATGATAATATATTTAATAGAATTCAATTTTCTAATTCTTGTAAAATATTAATTAATATTTCATATTTTTTTATTTGAATAAAATTTATTAGCATTATAAATTATCAGTTTTCCAATTAGTAATAAAATGAACTGATTTATTTAAAGTATAATTTCATTTATAATCTTTGTTTGATTATTTAAATATAATATATATAATACTAAAAAATCTAAATTCAACAAATATTTTTTTAAACTAATTAAATGAGAATTTATTAAATTATTTTGTTTCTTTATAAGGTATTAAATTACTGATATATTTATTTAATATATTTTTATCAAAATTAGATCTTTTTTTTATATTTATGTGAATTAGCATATTCAAAAAAATATTCAATGATTTAGAAATGCTATAATTTAATCTTTAAATTTTTTAATATTATATATATTAATATATCAAAATTGCTTCTATTACATATTTAATAAATTTTTATCTAAAACTTTAGCAATATTTTTTTTAATATATCCTATATTATTTTTTTGAAATAACTAATAAAATCAAAATTATATGTTCTTTTTCATTATTATTTTGATAAATAATATTAATTTGATTCTTATAATAAAATATTAAAAGCATTTTTTCTAATTGATAGTTATGTTAATATATCTTATAATTAGAATTTAATATATTTGTCAAAATTTTTGGTAACATTAACAATCAGATAATCTAAAATTACCCTATTAGAAATATCATTTACATATTTGCTTAAAAAAATCTTAATTTTTAACTTCTGATTTTCTTTAATTAAAATACTTAATAACAAATTATATAAATTATTCAATTATATATAATATTAAATGAATAGATTATTTATCTATATATTTATTTTTAATTTTCTTTTTATAGATATGTTGATTACATTTATTTTTTTTAAAAAAATGCATAATTGTAAATCTGCAGAATTTGCAGACTTGTTTATTTGCAATTTTATTATATTTTATTTACATGTTTAATATTTATTAAAAAGAAGATAATAGAACATCTATTAAACTTTTATAAATATATTATTTTATTATTCAATTATAATAATTCAGACTAATAAAATTTCTTATATACATATAAAAAATATCACTATAAAAAAAATTCCAGCTTTTTGGATCAGATCATGTGATTTGAAAAATAAGAAATATAAAATTTAATTTGCCTAACCTAATTTGTTTTTTTTTGTGTTAATTTAAAAATCAAACATTTTAAAATTTTTTAATAAAAATATTTTCTTTATAAAAGCTAAATCTAATTTTATTACTCTTTTTTTATATTATTAAAAATATATATATTACTAAATTAATAAATAAAAAATTTGTATATAATTAATAATATAATTTTTAAAAATAAACTTTATTTAAAATTGTAAATTATTATAATTAAGATTATAATTAAGGCTTTTTAATTTCAAATTTAAAAAAATAAATTTAATTTATAAAATTAGAATTATTAAAACAAGTTTTCTAAATTTATATAATTAAAAATAAAAGTTAAAATAATAATCTAAAAGAATTGCAACTATCACTATTACCACTATATAAAAAAAACTTGTTCAATTAGATTTTAATTCCAAAAAAAAGGCATCCTATACTCCATGTATAAACAAATTTTTTTTTAAAGTAAATTTCATGTGATAAAAACAATGTTCATAAGCCTATACCCTTTAGAACAGAATAAAAAATTATCGATACTTCATTTCGACCAATGATAAATTAGTGATCACATGACTATATTCCATAGAATTTCTACTCCCTATTATAGGATTTTAAATTATAAAATGTTACCATTCTGGAGTTTAAAAAAATTTGTTACACAGATCGAATGATGAAATAACCTTTTGTGGTAAAAAAAAAAAAAAAAAATAGACCCTCGCTCTTTACCATCTATTTATGATGTCAAATCGATTACCAGATAGAACAGCTTCAGAATATATAGTGAACGATGGATCAGAATCCATAGAACCACCACCCCCATATTCAGAATTTCCTACAGAAACGTCAGCAAATAATAGACAACTCGCAAATGAATGTATTGGTATTAATGACCATGACCGCGTCTTTCCTTCCATGCCTGAAATGCCTGAACAAACCCCACAATTTACACAACCTTTACCTCATCCAAATATGAGAACACCTCTTCATTTTCCTAATGATTTTATTCCTCCTCCTTCCATGAGACCGCATCGTATACCACCACCAATACCACCACCACCAAATGTACGTTTACATTTACCATTTCCAACACAATTTCCACATCCTAATGTTCGAACGCCTTTACTACCTTCAACATATTTTCCTCCTGTGCACTCCCCTATATATGAAACTTATCCTTTTCTTCTTCATAATCGTTCAGGGAGGCCTATAGTACGCGACTATTCTTCACAACGCGCTGCGACACGACAAATCATCGATAATGAGGATGATTGTTGCTGTACAGCACCTTGTGAAATATCTACCTGGGGCTGTTTAATCTATTTAACTTTGTTTTCTTTACCATTCGGAATATTTTGTTTTATATGGACAATAACAACGAGCATAATGTGCTTTACTACTTTAATATTACCACCATTAGGGTATGTTATGTGTTTAATAACCGCCGCATCTTATAGGTAAATAGAAAATTCTTTTAATCTTTTTTTTTTTTTTTTTTGCCAAATTTTTATATGCAAACAATTTTCATACTTTATTTTAAAGGATGCTTGGTCGAATAGAACTTGTCACTCAACAATTATGCGGTGGACAACCGCGATTATTTCGTAACTTAGGGTATCAAGCATATCCACCAGTATTTTCTTTAGAAAATCCCCCAACTTTACCTACTACTACAACTTCTTTAGAGTCCCGAGGTTGGTTTAATTCATCATTTAGTTATATGACAGATGCGTATACTTGGAGATGTCTTGTATATTTTATGATGATTAAATCTTTCCTGAGTGTTATTACTTTTATTATAACGATTTTGGCTGTAACTATTTCTATACCACTTGCTTTATGTCTATTGGGTCCTGCTTTGTATCTAGTAAAAACTGTTGGCGTATGGCAAAAAGAAGTGGCCTTTGAATTCTTAGTATTATAATTAAAATGATTTTTTTTAAACAAAAATTATATTAACGGACATTTCTTTTGTATTTATTATAAAATTTAAACATGTTATTCATTTTTTTTTTATTAAGTTATATCAGCTTTAAAAAAAAAAAAAAAAGCATATTTTTATTGTTTATTAAAACATAATTTATTTCATTTATTTCAATACTATTATTACCAAAATTATCAAATTAATTTATATATAGTAATACACTATAGTAACGTTTATTTTTAGTCTATAATTAAAAGAACCAAAAAAACCTCCCATAATTTTTTACCATTCTGGTTCTAATAATAATAATTGGTAAATTTTTATTATAGTATAAAATAAAACCAATTTTAATATTATTACCCACAAATAAATTAAATAATATTATAAAATCCTTAGAAATTAGATCCAGGGATTTTAAAAGTTTTAGCAAAATCCAGATATCTTGTTACTAATTTGTCTACCGAAGGTGATAAATTCATTGAAATTAAGTTATATCTAACTTTTGATAAACCTTCGGATCGAATTAATTTATTAAGATTATGAGCGATTGCCGTTGGGTACTAATTAATACGTTTAAGGAGAAAAGTTAATGATGTTTAACTTTGGATCAAGAAACTTGCCAAGTTTAAATTAACTTACAACTATCTCGTGATACCATCGCTCGTGGTAAACCGTTAATTTTACAACAGCCGATAAAGCACGATGTACGTCACCTTCGTCCGCATAGAATTCCAATAATCTCAACCAAGCCTTTGCTGAGAATTTATGTTCAAGACAACGTTGATAAGCCTCTTTTGCATCATCCTTTAAATTGTAAATATTGAAATTAAAATAATTAAAATAAATGATTAAGAGTTATAGATATTTAACACGGTAAAACAAACCTACCTTATGATGCAATCGCGCGGCCAAATCACCTAAAATTTCCCATTCTGTACCCGTTTTACGATAAGACATGTGATGGGCTTTATAATGAGAAACTTCGGAACGCCAAACAGTATATACTCTTAAATCCTATTAAATAAATAAACAACTTTCAACATCACGACAATTATAAGCAAACGTTGAAAAAAAAAAAAAAAAAAGTAAATAATACCTCATATAAGACCATAAAAAGATTATCAAGCCACCTAAAAAGATGATGTAAATATTGAGTCTATAATATAATTATTAATATAAACTTACTACGAACCTTTCGCACAATCTTTTATTATTAAATGAGAATGAATAATCTTTCTTTGTTGAAACATCCTATAATATAAAAGCGATTTTATAAAAGACTGCAAGTAATATATTTTGTGTCCTTTTTTTTTTTACCTTGGATTGTTCATCATGTATACTTTGATTATCATTTTTTTCCTCGTTGGCTGCTTGTAAAGGCTTTTCTAATTTAGGACCCTTAAATTCTATTACTGGAGCTGTCTTAGTTTTATTGTTTGAATTAGATTTCTCGTCATCTAAATTAACTTCCTCCATATTTTCAGAGTCAAGTGAACGCTCATCAACAGCATTCAGGTTGGAATTTTCTTTTTCATTTATGTCATCATCCTTTACCTCTCGGCCGTTGGTCGTTTCACGGTCTCCCTCATGTGTATTTTCTACATTTTTTTCTTTCGTATCCTCTGAACCATCAACGGTTGAATCCCTAGATATAGTGATTGCAGGCACAGACTGTGATGAATCTTTTGAATCATTTACATCATTGGCATTTGCGTTTGCAACAACATCCGTATTATTTTCTTGTTCTTGAGGAGACGGTGGAAGATCGATAACGGTGTTTTGAATTTTCCTCTCTTCTTCCGCCGCCTTCTGCATACGGTATTCTTCTTCCATTACAAAAACAGATGATCGACACTTTAATAGTTCATCCCATCCGATCTTCGCTACTAAACTTGTCAACAATGAATATGCTTTAGCAAAAGTTCCACGAAGGGATGGCGCAGGAAGACGTAAAAGCGCGACATCCGCCTTCATAAAAAGACAAATGAAATATGTTTAAATCGGGTTTCTCAGTAAGTTAATTCAATCAACTAGAGTTATTCATTACTTCATTATCGCGCCCGTTGTCCTCTTCAAGGAGTCCTGCATTAATGATATCTTGTTTGATTGGAAGATGTGTCTTTGCTGGTGATGGCATACGATGCATATCTCTTTCATTATATGTGAACATCGGGCAAGAATTCAATGTCAATAGAGCCTTTAAAATCAATAAAATTTTCATTAATTTCAAAAAAGATTATTGCGTATGTATATCAGAATGAAAGTAATTATATTATTACCGATTCATAATCTCTGAGCTCAATGTAAACTTCTGTTAATTTCGCCCAAGTTACAAACTCTGAAGGTGCACAATTTACCGCTTGTTTTGCAAGTTTAAGCGCATAATCAGTTTTACCCTAAAACGCAAATATATAAATTTAATAAACTTTTTTTAAATTGGTGAAGTTTTTTTTTGTTTTTTATATACAAGTAATATAAACCTTGCTTAATAAGAAATCCGCTTGAACATGTAAAAGTGCGTAACTCATTGGGTTTTTCTTTAAGGCCTCATATAACTTTTTAACCGCCTTTATTTCCTCATCTGAAATGAACAAATGTCAGCTAAATAATTTTGTTATTTAATCTCAATCTATTATGTTAATCACTTTTAAAATAAGTAATCAATAATATTTACCCATTCCAATATATGACTGAGCTAACAACGACGCTACTTCAGGGTCTTTATGATACAGTAATAATGAGTTAAGGAACATAAGCTTTAATATGTGTTAAATTTAAACAACGCGTTCCGATATTAAAGGATATATTTTTCAAATAAATTCACTGCTCGTTCATATCTAAAATTTTCACTAAAATATTTCATGATGCCAGCAGTTAAATGATTACTGACAACTGTGGCAACTTGTATTTCAGGATCAGAACCCAATTGCCATCCTAAATATAAACGATTTTTTTTAGTCATGTGTAATCAACGAAATGATCTTATTTTCATGATTTTACCTTTAAAGAAAAGTTGCTCCGCTGCCTCCAAGAAATGAGCTTCTGCTTCGACGTTAGGGATGGGATCCAATTTGCGGAAACCAGCCAATCGATAATTGACATCGTCTGAGTAAAGTATAGAGCGTAAAAGAGCAGAAATATAGGTCTCTTGCCAAATATCTGAAGTTGCATCATGTCTGAATTACAATTAAAAAGGATGAATTATGGGAAACCAAACGTGATAAACATAAATAATTACACAACGTACTTTTCGCCACGTAAATCCACGATATAACTTTCCACTCCACCAGGAATTTTGACTTCTACACGGACATCCACACGTGAAAACGCATTAAAACAACTAGGGGGGAAATAATTTTAAACTGTCACTGAAAAATAAAAAAAAAATAAAAAAAAATTAATATATTCGAGATATACCAATAAACTCCAGATCGTATTCTCCAAGCCGATGATTTAGTAAACCAAGCATGGTTATCTTCCTAAAAAGATAATAAGTCGTTATTAATTGCGAATAAGTCTGGTATGAATAAAATAAGGTTGTAGTTACCAATGCGTATGTTAATGAATTAAGATATGCAGCTAAAGTGGCAGAAGAAGAGGCATCAACCCCAGAAACATAATGGTAAGAACCAACCTAATGCAAAAACAAAATTATGCATTAAGCCTATAGATTAATTAAACCGGATAGTATCCACCAAAATGACGCGATAGTTATACCAAGAATAAAATTCACCTCCTTTACACCGGGTTTTGCATTAGCTTTCGTAACATGACATAGGTCAGGAGGACCAAGTTCACGAAAAGAACCTAAAATAATGAAATAAATTTTTAATAACCGACATACGAGATATTCAAACAAAAAAAAAAAAAGAATTCAAAGAAAACAAAGCCACTATGAAAGTTGTGCCATTATGAAAGATTTCTGAACAGTACCTAAACTTTCGGTCCTGGCGGCTAAAGACTCATCAAGCTGCGTTTCGAAAAACTCTGGTACATCTTTCAACGTATCCATTGTTATGGATATCGATGACGACTATTTGCTTAACTCTTTATTTTCACCGAGAAGTCTTTTTTTAAGGGAAAAAAAAAAAACTAATTACAACTCGATTTACGTAGCACAATATAAATTAATCATGACCCTGATTTTATTATAAACCCCCACATGGCTAGACCTTTGAAATTGAAATAACAAAAATGTCTTTTAAAAAAATTGACCGTCCTGCACCTAAACCCTCAGGAATTGTAACGACTGATAACAACGAACGCGTTATACCAGCAACCTTACGAGCAGATGGCACAGTTCGAAAGGAACGACGAGTACGGCCAGGGTTTGTTCCTCAAGAAGACGTAGCTAAGTATAAGAATCGATGGGTAGCAGAAACAACACCACCACCACCACCACCAAAACCTGATTTACCTAAAATGAAGGCTCAAAAAAAGAATGAAAAACGAAGTCTTAAAAAAAAAGAGCGAGATAAAGAGGGTGATCTTAACAAAGAGCGAGATAAAGAGGGTGAAAAAGAGGGTGATCTTAACAACGAATTGTTAGGTCAAATACAAAATAAAATGTTTGAACTGTCAATTAATAAAAGCATTGAGTTTATTGCAGAACCTGAAGAAAAGACTACTATAACTATAGAACAGTTGGAAAATACTACAAAGAAAATCAAAGCTCTTGAAAAGAAAATTAGACAGATTGAGAGACTTAAAGAGAAGAAAGCACGTGACGAATCATTACATGAAGAAGAAGAGGAGAAATTAAATAAATTAGAACAGATCCAAGAAGAATTAAGAAAATTAAAGCAAGGAGATGATGATGAATAAATAAGTGTAGATTTTGTTGTCTCATTTGAGGAAAATTGTGTTAAAAACTACCCAAAGATTGTCGCGTAAAAAGATTCATATTAAGGCGATTTAATAGGATATTATTTGATCCAACATTTTGGCAAAAGTTTCTCGCAATTTGAGCAATCTGTATGATAATATTGTACTTATTTCACTCAATGTTTAGAATTGATTTCAATTTTTAAATACCCAAAGTAATTTTTCGGTCCTGTATAATATCTCATTTAGAACTTAGGTAAATTAGCATATTGTTACATTAAAGTTGTAAAAAAAATAAAAAAAAATTTTTTTGAATCCAATAAACGAAAAATTTTTAATTTTTCAATCATCAAACTATAACATTATTGATGACGGAAACGATAAGATAATTTTATTTAAAGTCAACCAAATTTTTTATTTAAAAAAATAAATTTTATTAGTGGTAAGTTATTTTTTATTGATTATCAGTATTTAATTATACTTATTACTGTAATTTAAAGTCAACTAATATTTCCAGTAATCACAAGTTCTTTTTATAAAATTGGATATTAAAAAACGAGATAACTTGAATTCCATGCACTTTGCTGATCCTATTATTAAACATATCTTTCTCCAATAAAAAAATCACTTTAAAATATCTAAATATAACAATGAAATATATAAAAAAACATTTTGTGAAACGTATTTAATATTGTATGAATTTATTATATTTTTATTATATTTATAAATTATAAAAAAAAGAAATAATAATAATAATAAATCCTACAGTTCTAAACCAAATAAAATTTTATTATGTAAATATATTTAATAATGTTTAATTAATCTTCCTTTTCAATTTCGACGTCTTTGGATTCATTATTTTCAAGAAAACTATATGTGTATATTTTAACACAACCATCTATAAAAAGAATTTAAGAACGCCTAATTATTAATTATTCATAATTTAATAATTCATTGATTTTTTACTTACCATCTGCACAAGTAAATAATAATGGTTTCCATGGATGAAAAATTACATCTCTCACTTCCAAGTCTATAAAATAAATTTGTTTTTAAAATTCTCAATTAAAAGGTGGAAAAAAAAAAATATTATTATTATTACCAAATTAATGGATATATTACTCACCATCATAATCTCTTAATATACTTGTAACTTGTCCAGTTCTTAAATTGAATATAAATACTCCACCATCCATAGTCGGCGCAGCAATATATCGTCCATTTGAAGATATCTTTATGAGCCATGAATTAGAATGATAACTGTATATGAATTAAGTTGATTAAATTAGATATAAACTTGTTTTTTTTACGTTTAAAAAAAAAATAAAAATAAAATAAAAATTTCTTACTCTTTGTGATAATATCTTCTTATTTCTTCAAGTGTAAACGATCCACCCTTTTTCGTTGGAAAAATTAACTTGTGTAAAATACAAACGTTAACTCTTGATGCTATTAATTTACATTTTATTTGGTTTAAAACAAATTAGTCAAAATGGGTATCAAAATTATAAAGTCCAACTATTATTATTATTTACCTATTTTACCACCTTCTGCGTCCAAAATTTCTACACCACGCGTAATAAGATAAGCAAATTTTGGTTTCAATGGTTTCTTTGTAGCTTTACTGCTACTTTCTTGTACGTTATCGTTATAATCTGAATCTTCTTCCAACGGTTCAACGGGATATATAAATTTGGCGCAGTCACAATATTGGGAATACATATTTCCGGAAAATGTTTGTACAAGCTTTAAACAAATGCAATTTGTTTTCTTTAGGATATATCTAATATAATAGAAAGCACTCGCTTATAGTGTAATAATTTTTGATACCTGTGCTGCATCAAAATCATACAATCGAACATGTTCATCTGTTGCAGCCATAAAATATCTGTTTCCAGTATTTGGAACAAATGAAACAGTGAATGCCATGCACGTAATACCGTCTTCCATTCGCGTTTTATTGATGAGAGTTCTATTAAGAAATATCATGAATTGTTAGTATCTATGCGTAAATATTCAATGAAATTTGATCATTACTCACGTCCAATCATCTTGTAATTTCCATTTGATAATATAACCATCCTGACTGGTAGTTAGAAAATAGGGTTCTCCCTTAAACAAAATATTCTTTATACATAAAACTTCTTCGGAATGTCCTTCAAGTCTTACGATAACTTTTCCAGAGATGGTATCAAAAATCTATTTGAAAACGTTAGGTATGTCATTAAACTTACAATATAATTAACGTATCATATAGCATAATCAATATATACCTTTAAAGGACACGGTAAAATGTGATTATCGTCATCTTCCTCAGACCATCGGTTCCGATCTTTCAATTTGCCACCAACAACAAGACGCGTTTGGTCGTGAATGAATTTCCCGACGAAAAATTCATCTATATTCTTTTCCTAAAAGAAAATTTATATTAAGTACGATGTTACATTACTTCTTAAATAAAACATCAACAATTATATATACCTCGGTGTCCCTTAATTTTTGAATCAATTTGAACTCTCTTGTATCCCAAATTCTTGCAGCTCCTACATTACAAAATGTTACGAGCATTGTTCCATCTGGGGACAAAGTCATTCCAGTGATAGGACCTTAAATAAAACGTGTAATAAATAAGTCAGATCTTGACTTATAGTCTTATAAAACAAAAGTTGATTAAATTAAATTAAGATAATTACCCTGATCTCGCACATCGACATTGATCAATTGAAGTGGATATTGAACGTTAATATAATTTATCATTCCGGTGTTGCTTTCCGCATGAAATTGCCAGTAATTATCGGGATGCATACTAGCGAGTTTATCGATATTACCCGGGACATACTGTGGCGCTTTTGTTCCCTATTTAAAATGTTCAAATGTGTTAAAATGATTATAATTATACGATTAATTCAACATTGTAATTTGCTCTTTTGTAATGTACACGTGTAATTGATAAATCTATACCTCTTGCTTCTTTGCTTTTTTTGATTTGGTTGATGTTACAACTTTCGATTTACCTTTATAAGTCGCCGTTTCTTTACCTTTTGAATTAACACTACTATTAAAATCTTTATTTTTTATTCTAAGTTTAATAATCGCCGTTTTTTTCTCCTGTCTTGCTGTTTCTTCACGCGAGTTATCAGATTCTTTCTTTACATCCATTTTACTTGTATTAACAGACTGAGTATCCTCTAAATTTAAAGAATCTCCTTCTTTCACTTTAATAATATCAGAAGTTGTTGCAACTTCATTCGTCAGCGGCGTGTTATTTTTTTTATCTTTTTCAGATATCACCTTTGCTTTCTTTTTCTTTGCTTCAAGTGCGGCTTGCCTTTCAGTTAGCCTTGCTTGCTCTGTTAACAATTGCTCTTGTTTTCTCTTCGATAATGTTGAAGTACGTTGACTTCGTCTTAATACCTATTTCGAAACAATTAGATAATGCTTCATTAATTGCAATTGAATGCATTATTTCGACATGCCTCATAAATTTTCGTTATAATAAGTTGAAATAAGTCATTTCAAAGGAATATTATCGCTTACAGTTTGTTGCTCGCCAGACATTTTTTGTTTAAATTTTTTCAAATAATGAATTTTATGACCAAGAAAATTTGTATTTGGAGAATTTGATCGAATAAACGAAAATGAAAATAATTTGATAATAAGTACTGAAAACTTTAACTAAAATATTATAATTGCTTTCACAAATAACACGGAATCATTACGCATAAGCAAAGTAATGGTTTTGAATGCAGGAATTGTAATTTCGGATAGCAATTATGTTTTTTGTTGGACGCGTTCGAAATAGTATGGTAACATTTTTGCAAATCATGACCGCAGTATACCGCAGCACATTCTTAAATTACGAACTAGGGCAGGGCTTACCTATTTTTTTAATACTTTATTAAGACGCGTTAAACATTAATTTTAAATCATGTAAAAATAATTTCTTTTTATAATAATTATTTATTATAAATCTCATTTATTTATTTGTTATAATTTTAAACATATTACTAAATTAATTTTATAATTATTAAAGTCTATTTACTTAATTCATTTATGAACTTTAATATTGTGCATCATCAATCCAAACTGTTAAACGAGAATAAATTCGAAGTCTGGAACTTTTATGTTCCAATATATCATGGACATATTTTTGTTCTCACCTGATTTTCGTAAATGAATCTTTGGCGCAGTATACAAAATTTACCAATGTACATGTATAAAGAATTCTAAAACAGAATGCAAATCAGAATTATTACTTCTTTTTACCTCTTCTAATTTTTTTCTCTAACTTCAACTTGCTCGCTGAGATTTTATGTTGCAAGATTATGTGTAGGATATTTTACTTCACAAATGCGATAGATAATAAAGAAAAAATATTAGTAATCATTTAAGAAATAATATGAACTCTTTACTGTAAATGCATCACGAAATTTTGAAAGATTCGTGCGGCATTCGATTTCTATATATGGGAACGTTGCCAAAATCATATGATCCGTAACGTGGTTTTACTGATCCTTTTTTAAAGTTTTTTCCATTTTTTTTTTATTTCCTTCTACAAATATTCCGTCATTTTAAATAATTCAAGGTTGGATGTTAAAGATTATTTATAGCGAGAATAGTGCTTAATTGTTTTAATTTTCCAGCGTTTCTAACTTTCTATATACGAGGACATTGAACGTGCACAAAATATGTCTACTTAATATTTCTTATCAAACGCCCTAATATTAGCTACTTCAATGCTGCAGTTTTCTTTCTCAAATTTCCTATATTGATGAATTGAAAGATCACCTTCAGACACTGCCAACCAAACCTATTTAGGTCAGAGAGCAGGTATTAGAAGCTGAATTGGTCCAATTCAACAAATACATTATTCAAAGCAACCGCAAAGATTATCAGCACTGGCTTTAGAAGTAATTGTATGTTTTAAAGAATACCATTTAGTGTTTTTTAATATTCATTAAGAACAATCTGTTTAATTTTTTTAATGTTTTATTAGTAATAAGCATTTGAAATGAAAATCAGAACTTATGGAATAACACATCCCAATAACAAAGAAAAAATGTAAAAGAATTACATGTGAAAAAGATAAATCTGAAAGCTGTAAAGTATAATGAACCTTTAGAAGAACATCTATGAAAAGATTTCACATATGAGACCTTTGCAATAGAAAAGGGAAAATAGCTGAAAAAAATATAAAATGAATTAGTGCTAAATTTAAACATATTTTAACCTAAAAATCATATTTGACATATAAAAGTAAAATTGATTTTTTTCAAATATTTTCTCATTTTCTTTTGCAAAGGTCCCATATAATAATAGTAAAAAATATTATTGGCCTAATATGTATTGAATAATTAGTTAATTGATTAAAATATGTAATATATGTTAATATCAAAAAATACTTAGAAAGCAAAATCTTTTACATCTAATATTAGTAGAATAACTTTTTTTAAAAGAAAATCAATATATTTAGTAATTACTAAATATTTAACAAAATAAATAGAAATTATTACAGTTCATCTTTTCTATAATAAATCTTATATATTAAAGGTTACGATTCACCATAATAAAAGAATTTATTAATAGTAAATAACGAATAAAAATAAGATATTCATTATACTGAAATATTATATGATATATATATTAATTATAATCTAATATGAATTAAAATAATAATACAATATATATTTGCTTTTAGATTATCCTATAACTATTGATCTTAAATATTATATAGATATGATAAGCTTTATTCAGTTTTTTTTAGCAAACTCAGAAAAAAATTTATAAAAAATGAGCAAAAATAATAGAATAAATGAGTAAAGAAAAAGAAAAGACATAAAAAGATGATAGTTAAAAAAATAATATATAAAAATAAAAAAAAAAATAATAGTAAAAAATAGTTTATTGTGATATTTGTAAAGCAGAATATATTTTAGGTAATTTAGATCAGTTTGAGTTAGTAGATAATTAAAAGTGATAGATAAGAAGTAAATTAGAGGTTAAGGATTTTTAAAAAGAAATATAGATTATTAAATTTTAGGTTAAAATAATATAACTAAATAAATTTTTTATTGTAACAAGCTAAACTTGTATATTTTCATTCTTTAATATAAAAAGCTAAATAATATAAGCAGTATTAAATTTTAATAACTTTTAATTTAATTGAAAAAAATTTATAATATTAATTGTAACTATTTTAGTTAAAATCAAATGCCTTTTATCTTTAAGTAAAAGTTATTAAGCAGGTTTAATACTATTTATATCTAATTTTTTATATTAATTGAATTAATATTCATATAGAAATAATTTTTTATAACTTTACTAAATAAGTCGCATTTTTTGATTTTATAAGATTTGAATACTTTGATCAAAGTCTATTACTTTTCATTTCTAAGTAAAAATTATTCAGCAGGTTCAATACTATTTTTTTTAAGTTTATTCTAATAATCAGTCATCAGAGTATTTAGTGTAAGCATTTATATATATAAATTATATATGCTAGTTTAATGTTGTACTTAGAATTAGCCTTTTTTGCTATATTTTAAACTAGTATGAATCGCTAAATTATTAGCTATTATGATAAGCTATATAAAATAGACATTGTGTGACTAATATCAATGTTATCATAGTATGATAGATTCTAGCCAACTACTGGAAAGAAGAGTCTTTAATAACCTAATTTAGAATAGCTATCTAATATAGTTATCATGCGTAAACTGTTAAAATCACCCTAAAAATTAAATTTAAACCTCTCAAATCCTAGTTATACTATAGATATCACAGCATTTTAACTAGGAACTACCAGTAATCCATAACTTTTATTCAATTTAATTTACATAATATCTATCATGAATCTGTCATCATCTATTATCAGAAATAACTCCCTTGCAGATGATATAATACTTACTCATTACAATTCAGTTTCTTAATATAAGTTCCAAACTCAATTAGTACTATATGTATGTGATCACTTATATAATTATATAAGTTTACTATATTTTATAAGTTCATTATCTTTAATATATATAATTTATATATATTTTATGAAATTTATTCTTAAAATTAAACTGATAAATCTTATAGTAAATTAATATCAAGATCTGTATTTAATTAGTACTGAATTAGGATTTATTGCAGTGTAACTCACAATAGAGACTCATATCTTATAGATTAAACTAGGAATACTAATTCTTATTTGATATTATTTACATCTAATTTTATATATTGATTGGTTTAATATTCATATAGAAATAAATTTTTTTGTAACTTTATTAAATTAGTCACATTTTTTTTTAACTTCACAAATTAATTTGATTACTTAATTAAAGTAAATTACTTACTACACATTAAGTAAAATGTTATATATATTTAATAATACTTATATATAAATTTTTATTTTGATTGATTTAATATTTGTTAAGTAATAGTTTTTCATAATTGTATTAATTCTCAAATTTTTTGTTTTTTTTAAATATTTATTTATATAATTTATTAAATACTTATTAATATAAATATATATTATGAAATTACCATACTTTATAAAAAAAAATGTTATTAAATAAAAGTATTTGAAAGTTATTACTTTGTTTTATTATAATTAAATTTTTTTAAATTTTATTGTATTTTTAAGATTACATAAAACAATAATTTATATAATACTACTAATAATAGTTAGAATTTTATTTACGTAATTTTATAGAATTTTTAATATCAAATGTTAACTATACTTATTACTATTATAAAAATAATCTGTGTAAAGCTTATATTAAAATTTTTTGATCATCTTACTTATATATATATATTTCTAGATCCTGCCTAGCCTGTTTGTAAATCATTCTAGTAATATTAGCCTTTCATCTTATAAAAAAAAATAAAAAAATGAATTTTTAAACTTAAATCTTTCAGCAGCCAAAATATCTAAAATTTGACGAAATTTGTTTTAATACCAATCAAAAAATTAAAACCTCTAAAACCTACCTAAACTTTCAAAACTTTCCTTCAAAATCTTCTTATTTTAATCTAAAAAAGGAATATGCATATATATGTTATCAGATGCAGCTAATGCACATCAGGTATCAATCGATACTTAACGTACTTATTAATTGAATATCACATTAATATTAAGCCATAACTGTAATTTGTTTAATATCCAATATGTCAGGTGAAGATATTATTTTACTAGATAATATATAATAATCATAGAAAAGTTCAAATAGTAAATCCAAGTCACTTGTATGAAAAACCTATATTAAACAAGAAAATAAAAAATCAGAAGGCTATTATGAAGTGACTTGTTTTTACTTCAATATCTTTTGGCATAAAGGTTCACCTCAGGTTTTAGAACTGCATCTTGCTAATAATTGTTTAAAAGTTTCATTAGAAGTAAAAAGATATTTTTAAACAGACTTATTACAAAAACAGAAACTTCTGTAAGTAATTAAAGTAAGAAACAAAAACTTGTTGATGGAATTGCTGAACAAATAAAAATAACAGATTATCATGAAAACTTAAGGTTTTCTTCAGAAAAAAATTGTGAGATTGATTGGGCATATGTAAAA